TTTTTTTAAAAATCGTCATACTTACATTGGTAATACATATTTCAAACCTACTAATGAATCGACCGGCTTGAATTCAGAAAAATAAAGAAAAAGAAACATCCCACAAAAAAGCTAAACCCTTAGAATGTGGAGCTGGGTTTTTGTATTCTTTTCCAGCCACATACTGTTGTGTCACTGTTTGTTTGTTTTTGGAACCAGGGATTGAACTCAGGTCTTTGCGCTTGCGAGGCAGATGGCAGAACCACTGAGCTAAAATCCCCGGCCCTCGTTTTCCTATTCGTAGACTTTTCTTCCACAGGAATGAACAGTTCCATTTTGGGATTTTCCAAAAATGCCTCCCCAACAGGCCAACAAACTCAGTTCCTTGTTTTACATAACTTCCCACGAGTTCTTTTGTCTCTGTGCGTATCACTGTGACCCTTTCTAGCACTGCCTGGATACTGATCCTCAGAGCAAAGACGTTCGCTTTCACTGTAGAGCCTCCTTCCCACAGTTCAGGGGCTGTGTAGAAATCTGTTCCACCTGTGGTGCGAGGAAACCCTTCTTTACCCTGACAGGTTCTTCTGGGTTCCGCCCCCGAGGCTGAACAAACTTAGACCAAAATCAGCCACTTTGGGCCTGGGGATTTAGCTCAGTGGTTCCACCGCCTGCCTGTCAAGCGCAAGGACTCGAGTTCAATCCTGGGGACCAAAACAAAACAAAAACAAAAAGTCAGCCACTTTCAGGGTTCCAAGTCACTTGTATCCAATCTGCTTTGAGGAAATCAGGATGTTATTGGGCTCCAGATCACAGTGGATGATCTGTTTTTAGGCAAGAAAGCCAGGGCACTGCTCAGCGGAAGCACGAACTGGTGTTAGTTTTACGATTGGGTTTCCAGTCCAGCAGATATTTGTTAGTATCTCCTCCATCACAAACCACAAATGACAGGCACTACTGGGATCAAAGGCAATTTCTCCTTTTAATGAAGTCTCTACAAGCTGTAAGTACAGGGAAGACTTAGAGCCCTGGGACATCTTTCGCGCCATCCCATCTTTCTGTAGGATGCACTCCTCCCGGTGAATCACATTTGGATGTTAGCTCTTGATACTGCGGAGGGTTTGCCAAGGGCTAGGTCCACATTTTGGGGTGGGTGGCATGGAATTTTCTTCACCGCCATCCCCGCAGAAATCTTGCCGATGATGGCTTCTCACACAGCCTCGGCTCACCTCCTGTGTCCGGTGGTGCTTTGGCTGGCTGCTCACCCTCTTAGAGGTCAAGTTTTCTTGGGGTAGCCGCAGCGGTTTCTCCCTCTCTCCCTCTCACAGGCTCCCACCGGCTCCGCAGGCCATCAGCATAGGCACCTTGCAGTTGCCTCTCCACCTTGGCCTCCAGTCTGAGGCCGGCCTGAAAGCCACTCCCTTTATCAAGGGAACAGTGCACTTTCGCATATAGCCATGCAGACAGCAAAGTGCTCTCTCAGCTCATTCGGGTGCAGTGCAGGGCATTTTCCTGACAAAAGCAACCAGCCCATCAACCCTCGTCCGTCCGCAGAGCCGCAGCGGCCCTCACTCTGGAGGATGCCATCTTTAGGCTCCACAATCTAGCGACTTAATGAGACCCTGTCTCAAAACAAAAGACCCAGAAGGTTGGCTGTAGCTCAGTGGTGAGTACTTGCCTGGGATGCGTGAGACCCTGGGTTCTGTTTCCAGCCCTGCAAAGGAAAAAGAAAGATCACTCGGTCGAGGGAAGACGCACTGCCCGGAGGAGGGATCCCAGGGCCAGCATCCCACAAGAAATCTGCACGGCCGGCCCAAAGCTACTGAGCTCCTCCACTCATCCATCCAAACCCCAGGTGTGAGCCAGGCGGGTGGGGCAGACCCCAACCTCTCTTGGACCCAACCATGGAATCCGGCCCTCCTGGTCCATCTACGTTCACTCTGCCCCAGCCCTGGCCAATGCGGTAAATCTGGCTTCTTGTCTGACTTGATTCCTGCCTAGGCTTCACCTTAAACCAGTTTCTCTTCCTTCCGGGTGAGCCCAATACCACGGCAGCCCGTGGGGTTTACTTTGGGGACAGGGATGATTGCAGATGAGATTGAAGGTGAGGGGATCGGCAAGGAGGCTTCCCACGGTGATTAGGAGGAGCGGGTCATCTTGCTGGCCTCGCCCCTGCAGCTGATCAGTCATTCCTCAGCGCATTTATCGAGCACTACTGTGTGCAGGCTTCGTGCCATGGCCGCGCTTTAATGTTAGTTGGGCAAAATTCACAGCACACAAGCCTCCTGCCCCCCTTTTCTTTTCCTGGGTGCTGGGGACAAAGCCAGGAGCTCTCATGTGCAAGCCACAAATCACCCTTTTATTCTCTTCTCTCTCTTTTGTTTTTTTTTTGGCTCTAGGGATGGAACCCAGGGCCTTCCTGCTGGAGCTCAGCCCTTTTCTTCTTCTTTTTTTTTTTTTTTTTTTTTTGTTTTTTGATTATGGTTCCTTTTATTTCTTTTTTTTTTGAGACAGGGTCTCACTATGTAGTTGTGACTGACCTGGAACTCACTCTGTAGCCCAGGCTGGTCTTGAACTCACAGCGATCCTCCTGCCTCAGCCTCCCGAGTGCTGGGATCACAGGTGTGCGCCACCACACCCGGCCCCTTTCTTTCTTCTTTTATTTTAACACAGGGTCTAGCTAGGTCCCTAAATTGCCTAGGTCGGACTCCAACTTGCGATAGTCTTGTCTCAGCCTCCTACAGTTCCAGGATTCCAGGTGTCACCATTTCCAGCTGTGACAACTGTTTGTGATCTCAGAGTGTTTGCCCCACAGATGATGAGTGAAGGAAGAACGGAAGGAATTAAGAAGAACAGCTGCTTTCTGCCCGGCCCTCGTGCCCCCGCCATCCCCAGGGCTCCCTGGCCTGTTTCCCTGTCCCTTTCCTGTCCTGGCCTGAGTGTGTATGTGTGCGCATGTGTGTACGTGTGTGTGTGTGTGTGTGTGTGTGTGCGCGCGTGCGCACATGGGAGTGCCACATGCCCAATCTCTGCTTCCCAGGCAGCACCACACCCTGCAGGGCCCTGCCAGGCTTCCCCACTGAACTTTCTCTGCCCCTGCTGCCTGCCAGGGACAGCTTGTCCTCAGAGCCATTGCTCTACATTTTATTTTTGTGGTTTCCGCTCAGCCGGCTGAGCCCGCCCTTTCCTACGCCTGTCTTCTTGCAAAGTGGCAGGCAAATCCCGGAACTGGAGGAACCAGGAGACTTTCTTAGGCCACGTGACCAGGGCTGCCCAGTTATAGCCCGGTGCCCAGCTGGCGCTCAGGGCCACACGTCCCAGCTGAGGAAGAAGCGCCCGCAAGCTTGCTGGAGCTTGTCACATCCAGATCACGTCTGATCAGGCCTGTGATCTAGGCAGCCAAGTAAAAGGTGGCAGGACGTGCCAGTGGATGGGGCTAAGGACGGGGACAGTCCTGTCACCCGGCGCTCTGGCTGAGGCAAGAGAATCACAAGTTCAAGCTCAGCTCCGGCAACTTGGCGGGGGGCGGGGGGCTGTAAAAATTTTATGAAAGGGCTTGGGATTTAGTTACTAAGTTAAATGTGAAGGCTCTGGGTTCATTTCAGTATCACCAAAAATAAATAGCTGCAGGGGGTCCCCATTTTCTTTGGGGCCCACCTGTGCATGATTGGCAAGTCCCCCACACCACACTGGGTCCGGTCCAGGGTCCAGCGAGTCTGTAGGTTAACCGCTCCTTCCACGCCCATCCGGCTTGAGCCCCGCCCGCCCAGGTTCTAACCCCGCCTCCGGCAAGCCACACCCATCCAAAGTACAGGTCAGCCGCACCTCCGGGTTTCAGGCCCAGCCCTCCAGCCTCAGGCCAAATCTGGCCAGGCTTCAAGCCCCACCCACGCCCGCTCTGCAAGCCACGCCCAAAGCTCGAAGGCCCCTCCCCTCCAGACACCAAGCCCTGCCCCCTCCGTCCTGGGAGTGGTTGCGTCGTCCCTTCTGTTGTTGTGTGGCCTGGCCCTGTTGGAAACTTCACAAGGTGGCTCTCAGAATCCAATATGGACGGGTCCAAAATGGAGGGCCGGGGATTTAGCTCAGTGGCACCGTGCCTAACAGGGCAGGCGCCAGGTCCTGTATTCGATCCCCAGTACAAAAAAAAAAAAAAAAAATGGAGGCATGCCGGGCGTCTGGACCTTCAGCTGGGTTGCTGTCCTTAACCACTACGCTACACTGTCCCTTCAACTCTAGCCTCCAAAATGCCCTCGAGCCAGTCTTGTCCCCAGGACCTGAAGCCACCACCCCTTGGCTGTCCAGCTCACCTGCTGTCCCCACACCTCTGCTCAGAGGCCTCCATACAGCAGGAGCTTAATTAGAACTGGTTAGATCCACTGTCCCTTGGTGACCATGACAATGTCTACCTCCATAAGGACAGTGTGCTGTCCCCTCCCCTAGGACCTGGGGGTGTCTCCTTGGGCCCAAGGCGGGTTCCAAAATGCCACTTTGGGAAGAAGCCCAAAACACATGGAGAGCCCATCACTGTCACTAGGCGTTGAGATCAGTGGGGGGGACCTACCCTAGGTAAAGGGAGACAGAAGAGTCCAGCCCCCAGTCCCAGTATAGGGGATCGAACTCCAGGCCTTCACACTAAACTACCTATTTCAGCCCTCTTTCTATTTTTTGAGATGGGTTTCTCTCACTAAATCATTAAGTTGCCCCAGCTGGGCTGGAACCTGCAATCCTCCTGCCTCAGCCTCCCAGAAAGTTGGGATGACAGGGATGTACCACCACGGCCATTTAAGAACACAGCTTTTTTTTTTTTTGGTACCAGGGATCAAACTCAGGACCTTGTGCTTGCGACGCAGGCAGAGGAACTACTGAGCTAAATCCCTGGCCCAAGAACCCAGCTTTTCCTTTTCATCCTTCTCAGTTGTCCTGGCCACCCCGGCAGAAAGAAAACTGCCCGTGGTACCCTCCAGACTCAACTCACACTGCACTTCGTCACTGCAACACAGGCCTGGTCCGGCAGAAGCAGCAGTGAGAAAGCCAGGCTTTTTACTTTTATTAAATCCTTACAAAACAGAATACAAAATTCTGGCATTGACAGTTGGTGTAAAGGAAAACTTCTGAGCTCTGTCTGTTCACCTGGTACGCTGTTTAAAGTGCTTGGATGTCCTCGTCCCACTTTTTAAAAAATTTCTGAAGCGTGTCTTCTTGAACATGCCAATGTTGGCAGTGGCTGTCCCCTTCCCCAGCCATCGCCGCTGCAGCAGGGTCATCCACGCATTCACAGTAACGGTTCTGACCGGTCCTCTGTCGCAGCGTGGAGGCAAGGGGGGTGGGGGGGCAGTTTCACCTCTCGGGAGAAAAATACACAAAAATCAGAAGCTGCTCATTGCCCTGTGTTCTGGAGTCCAGTGGTCACGATGCCTGCAGTGGGTAAAGGTCCATTTGTTCTTTTACACAAGAAAGCTGAGAACCCCCAGGCAGGCAGGACCATGGGTCCCGGGTCTTTGGAAAGGCCAGTCCACGGATACAGGCAGGCAGAGGGCCGGAGAGGGCACACGTCACCCCTGCCTGCCGCCAGACTGTGACAATCGTACGAGACTTGGGGAGGGCAGAGGTGGGCTGGGCAGTGTCCCAGCCCCCTACCCATAAGGCCCCTCGACATTCAAGTATTCTTCAAGAACAGAGAAGCAAGTCAGATGATACTTTTTGTTTTCTTTTTTAAAAAAACTAAACACAACAAACAATCCCGACCATGGATTTGGAGGCCAAGGGGGCGGCCCTGCCCTGGCCCAGACACCTGAGCAGACCCTGGGCCAGGGTGGGTAGGGCATATCGGGGCCCAGGTGCCCCCCCAACCTGCAGGGCCACACGTGCACGTAGAAAATGGGAACTCATATTGCATAGTAGTTCACGGCCAGCCGAGGACAGGAGTGGCCCAGGCTCCCCTGCACTTAGGCAGGCTGACCAGGTGCCTGGTTAGAGCTGGGGAAAACGAGGGGGGCACCCAGGGACCCTCCCTGACCATTTCTGGGTGGCCCACTAGAGGCTGAGGCAGCTGCAGCCACTTTCCTGAATGAGGGCACAGCCAAATTGCTGCCCTGGGGGGAGCAGGATGGGGGAATCCTCAGGGGGACCCCAGGTCCAGCTCCAGGGATGGGGCCAGCAGAGCTTCCAAAGGCCAGACCCAGGGGCAGTGTGGGGCAGAATGTGGCTGTGGCCATACTGAGCCCTGAGAAGGGGCATTAAGGTGCCCAGAGGGAGTGGGGACACTTCTGGGCCCCACGTTGGCAGATGGACACCTGCCTAGCTCCCCCATCCACCTTGCTGGGGCCAGCTCGGGACAGAGATGCATGGCAGACATGAGGCTCCAGCTTCGGTCCTGGGGGTGGTTGTGACCCCTGTCAGCTGTCGTATAAGGTCAAGGTCAGAGGCCACGACCAGCTGGCAGGGGCCTGCTCAGACAGGCCTGGGAAAAACCCCGATTGTCAACTCTCGGGGACGGGGCAGATAGGAGCTCAGGAATAGGGGTGGGTGGCTGTCCACCCTGCCTGCAGACATGGGGCACCCCCTGCCCTTGGCTATGGAGGGGGCCATTCCTGAAAATACCAAGGGCTGGGAAGGGGGCTTGGGGGCCCTGTGCGCCCCACTGGTGTTGGAAGACGGCAAAGTGGCTGGAGGCAGGTGACATGGGAGGTGGCAGGGACTCAGGTGACTGGACGGGGTGGAGACCTTCACAGTACAGGTGAACATCACGGGGGCTGGGGGCGGGGGACTCCCAGCCTTGAGGCCTCCGCTCTCCTCCCCGGGCACTTGTTTGGAACATTGTTAAAAGGAACAAAACAAAAGAAAACAAAACACATAAAAACAAAAGATGGGAGAGGGATTGGGGAAAAAGAGGGAAAAAAATGAACAGCAAAACCTTCTATAAAAATCCACCCCCAGCTGAGCTCAGCCTGGGGAAGAAGCCAGAGGGGAGGGCAGCCCTGGCACCTGCTGGCCGTAGCTTAAAAACCTTTCAGATCTGATGGGGCAGGGGCGACCTATGTACAGGGGCAGCCAGGAAGGAGTCATGCGTGGTCTCCCACCAGGACCACAGGGGCGGCAGACAGGCTGGCCCTCTGCCTCCGCTGGGCCAGCTTGGACTCGGACGGTGGGGACAGCTGCAGACAGCGTGAGGTAGCACGGATGACGACTGGTGGGCCCTGCCCTGCGGCCGCTTCCTCGGCTGCGTCCTCCTCGCGCTGGGCCAGCTGCCGGTTCATGGCGATGGCCTCGGCTGCGAAGGACGTGAGGTCTTTGGCACAGCTGTTCCTAGGACACAGGGCAGGGGATGTCACTAAGGACAGACACAAACTTCACTGCTCCCCTCTGAGGTCCCCTGGCTGCTGCACAATCTGTCCCCCAACCTGGGGAGCTCTGGGCACTAGGACCCCAGCTGGGAGCTCTATCCGGTCACCTGGGATAAGGACAGCCAAGCATGAAACACCCCTTCTCACCTAAAGGGGCTCTTTTGGTCTTTTTCTTCCTGTACCAAGGAAGGCACCCAGGGCCTTTTCACAGAGCTATACTCTCAGCCCCGTTTATATTTTCTTTTGTTTATTTTTGTATTTTTGCGACAGGGTCTCTATGTAGTTG